TATTTTTCTTTGGTTCTAGACGTCAAATTGCACGTGGTTGTCGATTTTGAGCATAATGTCTTAAGGTGCTTTATGTAGACTAATGTTTGGATAGGGTCGCGCATTGCAGCGGAGTTATGTGGAGGTATGATCCTTCGGGTTAGATTCGTGTGATCTATTTCTATGATGTGTGATAGGTTCTCAGCATTGTGTATGGTGGTACTGGTGAGCTTGCAGTGCATCTCTCTCATTTGAGTCATTTTTCATGATTTGAGTACGTTCGGATTGTTGCTTATTGGTGCGCGAATTGCACAAGTTGTGGCTGATTTGTCATGTCACCAGAGTAGTTGTGTTGGATTAGATGAGATCGTTGGGATCTAGAATGAATACAAACGGATTCGATTTCAGCGTGTTGGAAGGATAATATCGATATTCAGCTCAAAAATTTGCTATGGTCCTTGCCAAAGGAGAAGTGGCTTCACGAATGGTTGATTTGAGGAATGGTTATGACTTTCTACGTGTTTCATTTATCATTGGCAGTATACGAAAGTGATGGAATGAGTCTTTATTTGATAAGAGGTTTATTATCAATATTCGGTTGTTCTAAGCAACTACTGTTATGAGAAGTTATCGCTGCGAGAGTTTGAGCTATATGGTATATCATGTAATTGCATCTGAGGCTACAGGTATGGTTTGTTACAGCTTGTTCAGGCTTATTAAGAGAATAGATGCGAGATTCCGAACTTGTAGATGATTTCAGAAGTGAAAATGTGGTTCTAAGGTTTATGGACTAGGTTGGATTGCAAAATTTCAGTTACATTGTGTTATCGGACCTATATGAGATAGGGAGACATGGGATCATCCCCGGGTATATGCATGGTAAGGTTACACAACGATTTGATGGTTTTCGGAACAACTCTAGGCACGTTCGAGGACGAACATATGTTCAAGTGGGGGAGGATGTCACGACCCGACCGGTCATATTGAGCTTTTGCATTTCGCTCGCCAGTTCTCGAGCATGACTAGCCCCGTGTACTGTATTATGACTTATGTAAATCGTCAGTTTTGGTTTTCAGGATAATCATAATAGATTTTGAAGAACAATTCTCAGTTTGAAGATTTAAATTTGAAATGTTTGGCCATGTTTTGACTTTTTAGTATTCAATCTCGGATTTGGATTTTTATGATTTCGTTAGCTCTGTTAGGTGATTTTGTACTTGGGAGCGGGTCTAGAATGTATTTTGGAGGTCCGTGGTAGATTTATGTTTGAATTGGCGAAATTGGAAATTTGGCATTTTCTAGTTGGCAGTGGAAATTTTGATATCGGGGTCGGAATGGAATTTCGGAAGTTGGAGTAGGTCCATTGTGTCATTTTTGATGAGCGTGCAAAATTTCAGGTCATTCGGACGAGGTTTGATAGACTTTTTGATCGAAAGCGGAATTTGTTTGTTTTTGGAATTCTTAGGCTTGAATCCGATGTCAATTTGATGTTTTGATGTTGTTTTGAGCGTTCTGAGGGTTGGAACAAGTTTTAATGATGTTATGGGATATGTTGACATGTTTGGTTGAGGTCCCTAGGGCCTCGGGTGAGTTTCAGGTGGTTGAATGGATTATTTCATGTTGGAAAAATTTGCAGAAAAACTGTTGTTGGTGTTGCAGGCTTTTGGCCTTAACGTTCGCGATGGATGTCCCACGTTCGCGAAGGGGTAGGATGTGAGGCAGTAGAGTTGTCCTTCACGTTCACGAAGGTGGTCCAGCATTCCCGAAGGGCTAAAGTTAGTGGTCATCGCGTTCGCGAGAGCTTTGCCGCATTCGCATAGAGGAAAGGTGAGCAGCTGGGGTCTTGGAGAATTGTTCTTCGCGTTCGCGAGCTGGTAGTCGCGTTCGCGATGGGTTGAGAAGCTAAGGCTTCACATTCGGGTGCATGGTATCGTGTTCACAATGAAGGAAAAAGTAGTCAACATAAGTTTGTGCTTCGCGAACGCGAGGCATTGACCTCGTTCGCGAAGAAGGATCGTGAATAGATGCGCAAAATGTTTAAAAGACCATTTCCGCGATTTTGGGTCTAAGTTTCACCATTGTTGAGCGATTTTGGAGCTTTTTGATGAGGATTGAAGAGGGAATCAAGGGGAAACACTTGGAGGTAAGATTTATGGACTTAATACTCGATCCTAATGTGATTTCTACCAAATTAAACATAGAATTTGTGGAATTTAAAGCCTAAAATTGGAAGTTAGGGCTTGAACATTGGAGACCTAAATCTAGGGATTTGATGGGTCATTTGTGGTCGTATTTTGGTATTCTTGATATGTATGAACTCGTGAGAGTTAAGGATTCTAATTTTGTAAATTTTTGTCAGAATCCGAGACATTGGCCCGGGGGTCGGGTTTGGCCAATTTCGGAATTTTTGATTTTAATTGGTTATTTTCAAGTGGACTTTGTTCCCTTAGCATATTTTGATGGTAGAAATCTATTTTTGGATAGATTTGGAGCATTCGAAGGCAGATTCGAGGGGCAAAGGCATCGCGGGCTAGATTTTGGACCGGATAGAGGTAAGTAATGATTGTAAATGTTGTCCTGGGGGTATGAAACACCCGATTCACATTGTTGTGCTGTTTTGAGGTGACGCACATGCTAGATGACGAGCGTGGGATCGTGAACCGTTGGGAATTGTGACTTAGTCCGTCCCGTATGACTGTTAAGTCGCGTATGTGATTGAAAAATATTTGATATCATTGTGTTTTGGAAAGTATTATCGTGTTTTGGGATGAATGCCATATTTGGGTTTCATGCCAAGTTTTGGACCCTTAGGAGATTTTTACTACTATTCTTCATTGTTTTGACTTTATATTTATGCTCAGTCATGTTGTATTCTACTGTTTTTATAACTCAGCCATATTTACTCTGTTTTGATATTTTAAATGATATTTTGGGTTGAGCATCATGTTTTCTTGTTGCCCGAGTGGCTTGATAGATTTTTAACTAAGTGAGGCCGAGGGCCTATGTTGTGAGGATATTATGGGATCGGGTTGCACGTCGTAGCAGTGTTGCGCTGATTCATGATTATGAGGCCGAGGGCCTGATTTGTTACGCCACGAGGTGGCTTGTTATGAGACTGAGGGCCAGTTTGATTATGTCATGAGATGGCTTATTATAGCGCTTGGGCTGTAGGATCCCCTCCATAGTCTGCACACCCCCAGTAAGCGCGGGTACCTAGTCTAAGTGATGTGATGTAGCCCGAGGTGATGTTGTTGTTTCATGTTGTTGCCTGAGGGGCAGTTCTTGATCATGTCTTGCCTGAGGGGCTGTTCTTGATCCATGTTTTGCCGGAGGGGTGGTTCTTGATTCATGTTATGCTCGGAGGGCTGATTACGAGTGATTGTGAGGTAGCCCGAGGGGCTGATTCTGTTGATATTTTGCCCGAGGGGCGGTGTATGGTACATATTTTGCCCGAGGGGTTGTTTATGTTTCTATCATTTTTACTAACTGTTTTTATCACTCGTTTGAAACTATTGGAAGATGTTTTAAAAAGGAAAGGGTTTTTACTGAAACTGAGTTTGATTTACGAAAAAAATAATTTCTGTACTGTTTTGGAAACTTACTGTATTTACTGTAGCATTATGTCGTGGTTTACGTGTTTTATTACTACTCAGCTTTCATTTATTTTTATTACTTATTGAGTTGACGTACTTACATTACTCTTTGCACCTTGTGTGCAAATTCAGGTATTTCTGAACCCGGTAGCGGGTGTTGATTGCTCAGTGCTATAGCCATCGGAGTTAGCAAGGTAGCTGCCCTACGTTCGCAGCCCTGCTCTTCTCCCTATTGTCTTCCTTAGACTATTTTTCGTATATTTTCAGACTCTTTGTTGTATCCATACCTTAGTAGATGCCCGTGACTTGTGATACCTCGATGCCGGAATTGTGTATTTATTCTGCACTGTTCATTTAGACATACATTATGAGACATTTGGTTAATTAAAGGCTTAAAATAACTTTTATTGAATAATGGTTAATTCGGAAAATGTGTCTGCTGGCCTAGTTTCACGATAGGCGCCATCACGACCCGGTCTATTTTAGGGTCGAGACAACGAACGATAGTGAAATTTGGGTCGTGAGATGCCTCCCTTTTGTACTCTATTTATTTAACTGAACTGTACCTATGAAGACTGTCACTGCTTTAAGCCCAATAATTAGACTTGTTACTTACCAAGTTTGTTGTACTCACGCTACACCCTACATTTCGTGTGCATCTCCAGGTGCTTCCGGACATAGTGGTTGCTGATTCTCAGAGGTTTCAGTCAATCGGAGGTTATCGAGGTAGCTACACTAGCGTCCGCAAACCTTGACTCTCCTTTCCTATCCTTCAGTTTACTTATTCAGTGTCTGTTCTTCTTAGATAGTGTAGACTTTGTATTTGTATAGATGCTCATGTACTTAGTGGCACACGGATTTTGGGAAATTTCTGTATTGAGTTATGACGCTTTTCATTCTGTTTTTATGAGATTTTTATTTATTTAAATATGTTTTAGTATATTTTGAATTTGAATGGGGCGGTAATTATGAGATGTCGGCTTGCCTAGTATTATGCTAGGCGCCATCATGACAGGTTGAATTTTGAGTCGTGACAAATTATTACCGTAAATATTCCATAACAATTTTAACAGGTTAATCATAATTCAACCTCTCTTGTCGAAAGTTACAATTTATAAGTGATATATGACAATGCAAACTGATCAGTTCATTTGTGCAATGAGGAAATATACTCCTTCTCCATAATCCCTTCTATTTTAATCCAAATGTCCATCTTATAATAAAAAGAAATAAAAGGAGGATTGATTTAGTCAAAATTTAGCCAAATATTTAACTTGTATAAAATACCCTTTGCTTCATTCCTTAGACTACTCGTTTCTTCTTTGAATAGGTAACCAAGTTTCATTGGACAAATTGACTAACCATTAAATAAATTTCCAGGCCTTGCTATAAATACATGTCTTCGCATAATAGTTTTCATACACAAAAACCTTCATAGAAAATAGAAAGATTGTATTATATCAAAAGTATAGGAATATGGCAAAGACACTAGTGAGCTACACAACCTTCCTTGCTCTCCTCTTGTGCTTCCTCCTCATTTCATCCAATGGTTGGTACTTCTTTCATTGTCATTTCATTTGTGAATATTGTATGCGTATATTTTAATTCCAAAAGATTAGTGTTTTTACAACAAAATAACGGTATATATACCCGAATTCCAAGCTAGTTCTAGTTGGCCTCTCTACAAAGATTTGGACCCAAAACTACAATCTAATATTACATAAAATTGCAAAAGTTCATTATAATTTATTAGTTTTACGCTAGTTGTTAACTTGCTATAATGCTTTCGTAGTGCAGGCAGCTAGCACCTAGGTATGCCTTTGCACAATCATATACGAACTCGTTAATATGAAATGATTATCATTACTGTTATAACTTATAACAAAAAAAAACATATATTTCAACATTTTTAGAAGAAATTCATATATTTCAATTCAAATAAATAATTTTCACCAAAAAAAAACAAACTTATGATAAGTTTTTGTTCCTTACAGAGATGCAAGCGGCCGAGGGCAAACTTTGCCGAAGGAAGAGCAAGACATTTTCTGGCTATTGTTTTATTAGTGAACACTGCGACGAAGAATGCAAAGAAAAAGAGGGGGCAAAGAGGGGTATGTGCATTAAGAAGAGCATCTTTAGACGTTATTGCTACTGCTATCACAAGTGCAAATAAACATCAACTGCTCTAAGAATTCTCGTTTTTTGTGTATGCAGTATGATAAATAAACAAATAAATAATGGTGTGGTGTCTTGTGTGTAAAAAAATAAAAATACTACCAATTCACTAGAATTGTCGTAATTGTCAGAAAATAGTACTAAAGTATATTTGTATTATCATATTGTGCGATTTTTTTCTTGGTATCCGTACTATAATTTTTGGTGTCAAGTGAAATAATCCAAGTAATTTCAAGAAATTATTTGTGGTTATACTGATTGAGTTTCCTTGGCTAGTTGGTTATTATGTTTAGTGTTGGCAAAATGGTAAAAATAATATAATTATCCACCCATATTGTTTATTTAAAAATGGATTGGATGATAAACTTTTTAAAAACGGAAATAAAAACGATATTATCCACATAGAAAGTAGATAGCTGATGAATGATCAATAGGTTTACCTTTTACATTTGTAAAGCCTCAAATGAGGGGTTCTTCAAGTTTGAGAGACTAGAAATTCTCCCAAAAGTGATCATATTCAAAAAGTCATGGATAATATGAATATTCATATTATCTATTAATTAACTCATTTTTATCCGTATTAAATATGGGTCAGGTCAGATTATTCATCCATTTTTGTATTAGCTGTTTTGACCCGCCCATCTCCGATCTGACCCGCCCATTTGCTACCTCTAATTATGATTAATATTATCATGTCGAAGAATTTTCATTTCATTTACTATTGAGAAAAAAAAGACTCGGTTAAGGCCTCATTTGTTTTTTTAAATATTAACATGTTTGAATCTGAATACACATCTAAATATCAAGATGTGTATTAAGATTAAGACATCTGAATACACATCTAAATATCAAGATGTGTATTAAGATTAAGACATCTGAATCTGAATACACATATGAATATATTAAGATGTGTATTAAGATCTGAATACTAAAAATTAAGATGTTTGATTTTTAACATCTAAATGTATAAAATTTATCTTCATTTGAAAAATAATAAACATAAAATTCAAATAAAATACTAACTAATCTAATATTCTATCAATAAAATATATAGTTTTTTAAATGTAATAGTTATTGGTGGTGATGGCTAACGGTTGAATGCCGACTAGAGGCTGTGGTTGGTGGTAGTTTTGGTTGATGATGGTGGTTCATGCTAGTAGCTAGTAGTGATTGGTAGTGGTGGCGATTATGATTGATGATGCTGGCGGTGAGTGGTGATAGTTAATAATGACGTCTGGTGGTTTATGATTGAGGAAGGTGGTGGTAGGTTATAATGATGGGCGGTGTCGACTGTGGTTTTTTATGGTGATGGGATGGTTAGTTGTGGTAGTTGAGGTGGTAAGTATTGATTGTGGGTGAGAATGGTGGTGGTCGGAATGGTGGTGATGGTGGATGGTGATGGTCGATAATAGTGGCGGCTATGAATGAGGATGATGGTGGCGTGGCGGTAGCGGTGGTTGAGTATGGTGGTGGTGGTGGCATGGTGGTAGTTGATAATAGTTGGCGATGACGACAGTTAATAATGAATATGTAATAGCATCTTAATGAAATTAAGTCTTTGTTATAGATCTTAATTATACAAACCTATTCAGACCCATTAAGTGGTTGTAAAGTATAAAAAAAATACACTTAATGATTAAGATCTGAATAATTAAGATTCAGACTTTAAAAATAAACGCACTTAATGTCTGAAATCTGAATAACTAAGATTCATATCTCCATTAAGTACAAACAAATGAGGCCTAAGTACTACATTAATCTAATTACTTATAGGATCAAACAATTTATATACATTCATCTTCCAAAATATCAGCTAATCATAAACATACTCCGTTTGAGAAATTTGACTATTCGCATTATTATAATTTTAACTATAACATTTACAATGTTTCCCACTAATGTTTCTTGTGATTGAAAGAGTGTTCTGGTTTCAATCGATTAGTTACTGTATAGCCCCATAAAATACTATGCATGGTAAGGACTAATACGGCTTAAAAAATTAAAAAGGCAGAAGGAGAAAGGTACGCAATGTTAGGATTTTATCGTGATTTTCTTACCATACGTGGATTTTACCTTTTCTTGAATGAAGAGCAAAGTATCATAATTGACTCTATTTTTCCTATAAGGAAAATATAGTTCTCTTTCATAGTTAACAAATCCTTTTTTGGAGGAAAAGATTGTAACCTCTATAAATTGAGGATCTCTCCTCCACATAAAAGTACAATAGCATCCACAATATTGTAACGATTCAGCAGGTCGTTTTGAGAATATTAGCTCCGATCCCCTTTTATTGCTTCCTCGGTTCCATTTTGTGGTTACTTAACTTGCTGGGTGCTTGGTGTGGGGTTCGGAAGAGTTTCAGAGTGAAATGGGACACATAGCCCTTAAGTTTGAAGTTTAAGTTGTAGAAGCTGACAGTAATTTGACTTGTGTGAAGACGACTCCGGAATGGAGTTTCATCAGTTCCAATAGCTCTGTATGGTGATTTTGGTAAAGTCGGACGGGGTCTCGGGGGCCCTAGGTGTGATTCAGATTGGATCCGAAACAAAAATTGGACTTGGTGCATTGATGAAGCACTGCTACTTCTGGTGCAATCGCACTTGCGCATTTTGGGTCGCAGTTGTGGCGCCGCAAGAGCGGCCCTCAAGCCGCAGAAGCGAGTTTGGGCAAGACCATCTGGAACCGCATGTGCAATCCATGTGCCGCAGAAGCGGACACGCCGATGCGGAGAAGGTATCACAGAAGCGGATATGGCCAGGGAGGCTTGGAATCGCATAACTGGACACCGTCGCAGAAGTGCCTATTGGGCCGCAGATGCAGTTTAACTGGGCAAAAAAGGCCTAAGTTGGGTTTGATTTCATTATCCATTTTTGGACCTAGAGAGCTCGGATTGAGGCTATATTTTGGGGGATTTTAGAGAAAATATTTGGGTAAGGATTCTTGATTCGTTTTTTGATTATATTCCACTAATCTATCATTAATTCCTTCATTTAATTAAGGATTTGGGTTAAGAAATTTGGGGAAAAAGGCGTAAAGTTTTTAGACCGAATTTGAGGTTTTGATCGAGGTTTTGGTATCGGAATTGAGTAATTTTGGTATGGGTAGACTCGTAGTTGAACAGGTGTCTGAATTTTATGAATTTTATTCAATTCCGAGATGTGGACACGGGTCGACTTTTGGCTAGATTTGGGCCATTCGGAGTTGGAAAATCGAGGGAAAGGCATTCTTATTGATTGATTGAGCGAGGTTTGAGGTAAGTGACTTGTCTAATCTTATGTGGGGGGAGGGGAATCCCTTTAGGATTTGGTATTGTTGTAACAATTTGTGATATGTGAGTGCCATATACGTGAGGTGTCGAGTGCGTATACGGGCTAAATGTTGAAATCCGGTCTTTGCTAAGTAGTTTTCTTTTTATGCTTTAATTGAGTTATTCTAGCACGTGTAGTCATCATATTTAGCCTAATTTCATATATCTATGTGGTCTCATCTCTTAATTGCAAATTTGTACAACATGCTTCGTTGAATTACTTGCTTCCATGATTTTTTTCGTATTTATTCTTAAATTATAGGATTCCTTGCTTGTAATATCATTGTTTCATTTACTATGTGTTGACTTTCGTGATTCTTGTTGAGATGACTATTTGGTTGTGGCACGAGGTTCCTTCCGTGCGGAGTGTTATTGGCACGAGATTTCTTCTGTGCGGAGTGTTATCGACACGAGGTTTCTTTCATGCGGAGTGTTGTTGGAACGAGGTTTCTTCCGTGAAAAGTGTGATTGGCACAAGGTTTCTTCCATGTGGAGTGTTATTGGCATGATATTTCTTCCGTGTAGAGTGTTATTGGCACGAGGTTTCTTCCCTGCGAAGGGTTATTCTGGCACGAGATTTCTGTCGTGCGGATTGTTATTGGCACGAGGTTTCTTCTGTGTGGAGTATTATTGGCATGAGGTTTCTTTCGTGCGGAGGTTTATTGGCACGAAGTTTCTTCTATGCAAAGTGTTATTGGAACGAGGTTTCTTTCGTGCAAAGCATTATTATGGCACGAGGTTTCTGCCGTGTGGACTATGATATCACCATTCTATGTCATCCTGGGAATGCCAATGTGGTGGCTAGCGCCTTGAGTTGTAGGGTGGGGAGTTTGGGCAGTTTATCATATCTACCAGTAGCAGAGAGGCCTTAGCATTGGATGTTCAGGCTTTGGCCAACCATTTTGTTAGATTGGATGTTTCTAAGATGAGCCGAGTTTTGGCTTGTGTTGTTTCTCAATCTTCTCTTTATGGTCGTATTAGAGAGCATCAGTATAACGACCCCCATCTGCTTGTCCTTAAGGACATGATTCAGCATGGTGATGCCCAGGAAGTCACTATTGGGGATGACAGTGCACTGAGGATGCAACACAGGCTATGTGTGCCTAATGTAGATGGTTTGCATGAGTTGATTCTGCAGGAGGCTCACAGTTTGCGGTAGTCTATTCATCCAGGTGCCACGAAGATGTATTAGGACTTGAGGCAACATTATTGGTGGAGGAGAATGAAGAAGGACATAGTGGAGTATGTAGCTCAGTGCCTAAATTGTTAGTATGTGAAATATGAGCATCAACGGCCAAGTGGATTACTTTAGAAGCTAGAAATTCCGGAGTGGAAATGGAAGCCGATCACTATGGATTTTATGGTTGGGCTCTCACAGACTTAGAGAAAGTTCGATATAGTTTGGGTGATTGTGGATAGGTTGACCAAGTCAGCTCATTTCATTCTAGTGGTGACTACTTATTCTTCTTAGTAGCTGGCTCGAGTTTATATCCGCGAGATTGTCAAGCTTCATGGCTTGCCGGTATCCATCATCTCTGACCGAGGTACGCAGTTTATATCGCAGTTCTGGAGGGTCGTACAACATGAGTTAGGTACTTGAGTGGAGTTGAGCATAGCATTTCACCCTCAGACGGACAGATAGTCTGAGCGCACTATTGAGATATTGGAGGATATGCTCCGTGCATGTGTGATAGCCTTTAGGGGTCATTATGATCAGTTCTTACCACTTGTGAAATTTCCCTACAACAACAGTTATCAGTCGAGCATTCAGATGGCCCCGTATGAGTCTTTGTATGGTAGACAATGTTGGTCTCCAGTAGGTTGGTTCGAGCCGGGCGAGGCTAGTCTATTGGGTACAGACTTGGTTCAGGATGCTTTGGAAAAGATTAAG